TATAGGAAGCCAGTAATACGGAGTGCTAGAGAAAAGCAATAGCAACAAATATTGCAATATGGGTTCTGGTAAAAAAAAAAAATGGTTCTTGAGACATTGTTTATAGGTAAAAAAAAATCATATGCTGATCACTTCAAATACACATGGCCCAGTGAATAAAAGCTTTTGTTGGATCCAGTGACTTGACCCTCCCCCCTTACAAAGAGTTTTGATTTCAATACCTGCCTACTAGATATTATATATATGTTTGGTTGAATAATCTAGATATATTATGTTTGCTTATTTTTATTTTTATCCTCTCGAATTCACGGATCAATTTCTTAATGTTGTTATTAAACTCATTATATAAATAGCCTAGTGGAATATTAAGCATTGTCTGGGACCGAAGCATTTAGTGTGGTGACCACATGATTAAAAGGAATATAGAATTAAAAACTTCATGTTAAGTGTGCTTGAATTATAATTCTTTTTAAAAAATTGCAAGAGAGATGAAGAATTCACAGAAACATGATATTCATTAAAAACTTTGCTTAGAATGTTTTCTCTGGCTTCTCGTGTCGTCACTGGCTTCTTTTGGTCTCAGCCTCAGACTGAACTGAAGACGGACAATTTTTTTATTTATTTATATTTACTTTATCTTAGTGGGGTGACACAACAGTCATAGTATCCTTTTCTTGGAGCGAGATAGAGAAAGAGAGAGAGAGAGCGGGGGTGATGTAGAAGACGGATGTCAAATTGGTGGCCGACTATCCATTACCACTCGATGGCTTGTCGTACTTGTTGGCCGACTATCCATCACCGAAAGTGGTGGTTTGTCTTACTAAGGAACATGGGTGCGACGAGACGTTTTAACCCTTCTATCCTTGCAGCCGTACTAACTGCATTCGCGCTTTTTTTTTTTTTCTTATATCAAAACTTAAACAAAGAATATCTATCACTTAGAATTTCCTCCCACAGGATTCAAAACACACTATTCACTTCGGGTTGTCATAATTCTAACTAGTAGTTTACCATTTTGGGCCAGCCTACGAAATTCAGTAACATAATCTTTTGTATCAACTGAAATACTTTTTCCCACATTTTCTATTTTTCATACTTAGGGACATTGAATTTGAATACCCAGATGCTTGATGAAACTTTTTTTCTTTTTCTTTTTTTTTTCTTTTTCTTTTTTTGAGCTGGGGTTGTTTTTTTGGTTCAAAGTTTTAAATAGACTTTAGTTATTTATATGGTCTGAAAGCAAGTACTACTTTATAATTGATTTTCATGGCGTTTAGTCAATTCTTAACAATGAATCAAGGAAGATAGATGACCAACTTAAGATGTCTTGTCATTGAGCACATTGTTCTTCCATCTGGCGCCACTTCCAACCTGTCGTTAAAAATATTCTCCTTTTGTGTGAAGCTAACAGAAAAAAATTATTAAAAAATACAAATTAGCACAGATATGCTCAAAAATGGAAACTGAAAACTATAACATCTGTTAATATATTTGTATGACATATAGTTGAACCCTCCAGATGCGTCACATTGTATGAGTCACTTTATCAACCATGCCGAGAGGATCAGTCAACTTAAATCCTTTTTCAGTTTGCTTTCTATTCGGAAATAGACAAACTGCAATAAATATTGTACCGTAATTATCGACGATGACGGTAGACTCGAATAGAATTTTTTTTTTTTTTTTATTTACCTCGATTAAAACCTTAAATTTAATTGATTATCTTATTTATGATCGATTGTATTCTACATCGATTGCTTACTCCAAACATTCTTGATTTCGCTTCGATAAAAATCCAGGAACAGACAATGAATAAAAAACAGTTTTTACGGTGTATTTCCCTTCAATAAATCTTTAAAAAACATTTATTTCTTGTCATATCCTTAGACTTATTATTTATTTTACATATATCTTGATTATAGCTTAAGAGTCCATTTATTTTTATCAATATTCTTAAATTTTTAAGTAGATAGCTTCATTGAGCAGGGTGTAGCTTTGACTACAGACGAGGTTTATATATTTCGTCGATATAAATGAAGAAGAGGACATTTATTGACAATGGGGTACTAATATGGAGTGCTAATACTCAGCACAAAAACAAACGAATGATCTGCTATTATTAATTAAACATCGCTCTAGGGTGGATCCCAAAGAAAGGCACTTATTGTTGTTACTTTACAGTCAATTTCTTTCTGCCTCGATTCTACACTTCCGACTAGAAAATCTAAAAAATCAAAATCAAAGCTTAAAATTGAATTTTTTTAATGAGATTTCAATTTTTCTTCACAATCAAATTTTTGCAGCGTCTTTCAGCATTTTTCACATCGTTCTCAAAAAAGAAAACACATTGAGTAGGATGTGAACTTCAAAATCATAGAGTTTAAAATTGTATCGTTAAACCGGACGTGGTTTTCCGTTCCAGAATTTCCATGCCTGAAGATTTCAAATTGGAAGTTTTCAAATCGTATGAAATTCAGGGTCATTTCCCGAACGGACCAACATCCGGATTCCTACCATTCATCCCAGGTGCTTGCTATGCAGAAAAATGCAATTCAGATAATTTTATTGTGCCATATTGCATGTTCAGTCGCAGCTGTCTGGGTTGGCTTTTGTAAATTCTGACGTTTTTTTGTTTTTTTTTGCAAGAATTTAATTTATTTTTATTTCAAAGTTTAAGACTAATATCTTCATTTTTGTTGTTTTACTGCAACGGCTTTAGTGATACGTTCTACGGTCATCTTTAAGTATAAGTTGCACTTGAGTACTTTTCAAAGCATTTTACCTTCTTATAAGTTGAATGAATGAGCTGATGAGTTTAAATGACGATATCATCAGATCGAGAAATAAATAAAATGCCGAAACTTAGATTGCATAGAATAAAAATAGTTCTTCAACGGTTATTGATATTTAAGTATTTTCTCTTCAAAAACATTAATCTGATATGAGTATGAGTAAAAAAGAATTGAGTGGTATGCAATTTCCTGAAATTAAAATTATCTCCTGCGGATTCTAACGTGACATTCTTGACAGGTTAAAAGAATGGGATTTTCAGATACATTTAATTTTAAATATATGTTCTATTTTGCGTTTATCTTTTCATCAAAGGAAAGGATTCCCCATCAGTGACGTCAATCTTTTACGCGCGAGCGCGCGCGTGTGTGTGTGTGGTTAAAGAAAACCCCCTCAAAGTAATAACATTCATTCGAACAGGAAAGAAACAAAGGAAACTAAAAAAAGAAATGGGAAAAGCAACGCCTACGAAAAAAAAAAGAACAAAAATGAAAAGAACGCGTAGTAAAATAAAATAATAACTTCAAAGGACTGAAATAATTCCTCGTACTTCCTGGTATTAAAAAAAGACAATTAAGTCACGAACATGGGAAAAATGCAAATGGATTTTAACCGAAACGAAAAGCTACGCAGAAAATCCTGGCCATTAAAATGTAATTGTACCAGAACTGCATAAATTTAAGAATACAGGAGGTTTACTCAAACATTCTCAGCTCAACGACTTTCCTAAAATCTGATCAAACTTCATAAATTTGTTCGGATCAAGAACCTTTTCAGTACTTTCAAGTAAGTCTTGAAAAGGAAGATTCCATTGCCATATTGTGTTTTATTCCGTTCATAAGATGTTCGGATTTCATGGTCTGCTTATTTAGAGGTGAAGTATTCCAAATATTTTGTGGATCTTATCACATGTATTGGTCTCTGTTAGAATACTGAATTTGAGGCTTCCTTAAATTTCTAAACATGAAACAAAAGCTTCTTTAAATTTCTAAACATAAAACAAAAGCTTCTTTAAATTTCTAAACATAAAACAAAAGCTTTTTTAAATTTCTAAACATAATACAAATGCTTCTTTAAATTTCTAAACATAAAACAAAAGCTTTTTTAAATTTCTAAACATAAAACAAAAGCTTTTTTAAATTTCTAAACAAAAAACTTTTTCTAGAAACTGACAAGTTGATCTGAGCAAGACGAAAAAGAAAGGTGCTAAGCCGAACATAAAACCAGTCGTTTCTCTTTGTAGTTCAATAACAATACAGTCGACTTTTGATTGAAAGAGGTGCATATTTCCCATCGATGCTAGTTCAAGCCCAGACGAAAATCACGACTTCAAACGCTGATTTTCAAGATAGTTAAACCAACTTTGAAGATGGACAGACACAAACAATCTTCCAAATTCCGTTTCTTTTCATTTAGCTTTGTTCAGTACCAAGCTTTATCAATAAATTACCTTCTTAGTTATATTCTTGAGTTTAGTTGGTAGTCCATCGCTCTACTCTGAGACATCTACCAATGCAAATGTCTTATACTTGTTTTCCTCCTCGAATGATTCCATTTTGTTTCGTCTATTGAATTCAGTGTTGGGACATCTTCGGTTGATACCTTCTTATTCGACTTTTTCTCTAGAGGAGCCATTCCTATATGTCCCACCCCTACCAATGGGGAACTCTGGCATATTTAAAATGTCTATTTTAAAGTGCGCCCATATCGCTAACGAATGTCAATTTAAAATGGGTTTAAAGGCGATACCGTATTAAAATTTCTCAATCCCTCGGCACTTTCCCTTTTGGGTACGACTCAAGTGCTGGTTGATAACCCCAGCCATCTCCCTCCTAATGGGGAGATACTTGCCTAGTGAGTGACATTTTATGAGAGTTCCCGCAAATGAAGCGATGGAATAATGACGTAACGTGAAAATAGGGTAACGTCGCTGCCGAGCATCCAGAGATTTTTGGTTGAATTGAAGGCAGGGTTTTGAAGTCATATGCACATAAGATTTTTTGAAAAAATAATAAAACTTGTAGAAAAGCACTAAGTTCAAAGATTGCATTACGCCAGATAGATGTCTTATTTCATAGATACATTTTTTTTTTTTTTTTCCAGTGTGTCGGCAAAAAATTGTATTGATTACTTTAAATTATTTCCTTCAATCGTGCAATCGTATTGATTCTTTTTTTATCTTTTCTTTTTTTCTATGTTTGTCGATTTAGCTGCGATGCCTGTTGCTGGGGGTCGACTTATGCTTCCTGAACTCTGTGCACCCATACACCAAGGGCGTGACATGCAAACGGTAATTACCAAACAATTCTCTTCTTCGTCGCAGTCAATTAAGCATTTCAGCGGCGGTAATCTCCTACAAGAAGAAAATCTCTTCAGCACCAAAGCCAATTTTTTTGCCGATTCATTATGCGGTAAGTATAACTCCAGAAATTCTATTCTCTCTTGCAAAATTACAATTTGATTTTATTTGAATTTAAAGCGGAAAAGTGATGTTCATGGTGAGTTATAAAATCAGTGAACAGAGTTCAAATTCTAAGTGTGACCAATGATTTTACTTTTATTGTGGATCGTGTATTTATTTAATTCAAACTGAATACCGTTCAGTCACCAGTCATTTTCATCATCTTGTAAATGGGAATACTGCAAGGGAAATGAGAGATATTTTAAAAACTCACATCATAATCCCCAACAAACGAAAAATGCCATCTTAACAAAATGAAAATCGATTCGAACTTTTAAGTACTCAACCAACAAATCATCACCAGTGAATACTTAAGTAAAGTTGTATTTTATTTACATATCATTTGTTTTATTTTTTATTTATTTGATTAACGCTGGTCCACGGAAAACGATATTTATTGTATGAAAATGTACAAATATGTCACAAGGCTAAAAATGGAGGCTAGGGAAGATTGGTCTTCATCTGTCTTATACTTAAAGTTAGCTAGCCACAATCACTGACCCAAACATACCACAATAATCCTTACACCAGAACAACCCATTCTTACTTAACATTCTTACTACAGCCACCACAAGTTGGAGAATAAATTAACAACTTTTAAAAATTTATAGTCCTAGTGGATATTTACAAGATTTATTTATAAGAAACAAAACAAAATACTGTTAGTAATCCCTCCCAAAACACACAGACGCACACACAAAGAAACATTAGTTAATTGGACGAAATTAATGCGGGACTTTAATATTCAAACAATCATTCGACCGAACACTCACTCAACTACACTTCAATTCAAACACAACAAAAAACGAAAAACACTCGAAAAATGAAAGACATCCCGCATCTACCAGAGAACATCTCTGGTCACCTAACGGTGAAGGGAAGCGAGGATTAAACTAAAGAGAGTGTGGGCAAAAATAAAAGGGGGCCAATAAGCATACATCCCCAAGCTAAGTTAACTTTATCAGAAAAAAAAACAAAAGCAAAACAAACCAAAATTATCCTATTTTGGACGGGGTTGCCAATGTTCACTCCAGAATTTCCAATATCTTAATGACTAATCGGCATCAAAATGCCACTCTAAGTCAGCTCTTTTTACTTGACACAGACGCACAAAACTTACACACCTTTTGCCAAATTTCGCTAGTGGGAGTCGTTTTCTTTCCGTCTTAATCTTGACTTTAAGCTGTTGCCTAAAGAAAAAGATTAGTTGAAAAGAGGTAAACTTCTCGTCCCCATAGAACTCCTTCTGTTGCGTCGTCCATATCACGACTCGCATAACGCCTATTAAGCAAAAAACATAGTGCTCAGCCTTAGTCAACGGTGGTACGACATTGCTACAAACAGAACTGACCTCGATGAATTTTCCAGGCAGCATGCGAACCATGACAACGACTTTGCAGTGTAAGAAGGCGTGACCCAGGCTTTCCACCCACTCACCACAACGAACGCAGATTTTTCCAACGCCGCCGAACAAAGTTTCTTGCCAACCCAAAGGGTCCTTCTTAACACCAGCCAGGTGAGTGATGCCTCATCGTTAGTGAGGCATTTCAACCCGGGCGCCCAAGGCCATACGGAGTGAATTTCATGCTTCGTTAGACCGACCTTACCTATCAGATCATCTTGAACGGACCTCCTAACTAGCACGTGATATAACGCCTTACGGAACAACGCCTGGACGTCGGAGAAGCCATCCGACATTCACGATAGGAGCTCTCGCCTCAGGGTAAACAGCGGGCCTCCTCACATTTGTCAGGGATGGGAAGTTCACGGGCGTCTTTCTTCCAGAATTCGCCATTCTCATCCATTTGCAAACACACCCGGTCTAGAAAAGAGATTCGAAGCGTATATTGACGAATCTCAACGCTAGGCACACCCAGACCGCCTTCAGAAGGTTGGAGGTAACAGATCTCCCGACATAACTCGGGAGCCTTGCCTCCCCACAAGAAGGAGAACAAGACTCTTACTGAACCCCTTAGTGTAGCATACAGGAGTGGAAGTACGGATAGGCGGTAAATGAGAATCTGGTAGTTGTGCAAATTACATACTTCCGCCTTCCCCTTTAAGAAAACCTTCTTCGGAACCAGAGACGAACTGTGCACTCTACCTTCTCCCGCACCTCCGACCAATTCATTTCCAACAGGAGATCGAGACCAAACCAGACGCTGAGTATCTTGACTGAGCCGTCCGTCCAGAGGAAAGATCCGGAAAGAGTTGCCCCATTTTACGCACCCAACTGCAACCCAACAGACTTATCGCGATTGATCATGGCCCCTGTGACCGTCTCGTACCCTCTGATCTCTTTGCCAATTTCGTCAATCTCGGCTCTGCTTGACACGAGAACCGAAAAGCCGTCGGCATAGGCAGAATACCTAACCGAGGTGGTAGCACTAGGTAAGGAAATTCCGCGTAGGACCGGATTCGCCTTGTGAAGGGAAGGCTCCAACGCAAGAACGTAAATCAAGGGCGAAAATAGACAACCTTGACGAATGGAGTAAGACAATACGAAAGGTTCCGATCTTACTCCATTCACTTCCACCAGCGCACCTGGGGACGCCTACAGAAGTTGGATTCAGATGCGAAAATACGACCCTAAACCGGCGGCGAAAAGGACAGCCTCAAGAAATCGATGGTCAACCCTATTGAAATCCTTGGATTGATTTAAATTGATCAGCGCGGCTTCACTGTCGACTTGCTCGATGATGAAGCGTACCAAATGAAGATTGTCATGAATAATCCTGCCTTTCACAGCACAAGTCTGCTAGGGGAAAATCAGACTAGTGAAGACAGCCTGCAAACGGCAGGCTAAGATCTTGATTAAAATCTTCAACATTGTCAAAGGCTAATAATTACCTGTTCTGTCCCCACTGTTTTTGTTCTTGAAAAGCAGCTTGATCACACTCCTGGTGAAGCGTTGAGGCATAGACTCCTGATTCATCCAGTTGTTATCAGTGCCAGCAAAGGAATAAAAATGGGCGACTGCCTCAAGTACAGTTCGTTATGAAGACCATCTTATCCCGGAGTTTTGTACCGGACAAACAGCTTCAGTTCTTCCAAGATCCCAGACTCTGTGATAGAACCCTCGCGCCCGGCCGCTTCAGCCGTCTCGAGCGGGGGAAGGTCGGCTGAATAGGTATCGAAATGACCGGGCTCTCTGGCAAACAGATCCTGAAAGTAGTCTCCAAAAAACCTCACATATGCCCGCGTTTGTAATCACGGTCGATTGGATGCATTTCGAGCCTTCTCTACATGCAATTCAGCGGCCATGTTCGTTGCCTCGAAAGGCATCCTTTTTATCTTAGGCCTAAATACTAAAGCTTGATAATCAATGGACCAGTTCCCTCAAAGGAAAACTGTGAGAAAGATATGAATTCATCACTTTCCCCGTCCCAGATTTGAATTCAAACCAGCTTGGGCTTCGTCAGGCTATCTTGCCCAAGACACGCCACTGCTACTACGGGTACACTACATGTGGTGTCCCTACAACCCTAATAGGTTACGGGTCTCGTGATCATGAAGGAAAACTACACACACATACACATATATATATTGAAAAGTATCTCCCTATTTTATTTATGATGGATTCTCCCGTCTTGTAAAAATTAGTTAGACGCGAGTGTCCATCATACATAAAATAAGTAGTTACTTTTCAATCACCCTGTATAGTTATTTTCCAAGCGTAGCTCAGATGTGGCACAAGGCCGAAAGTATGGGACACCCAGTCAGAATCGAACTCACTACTCAGTCGTAATTGTTCTAGCGAGACAAGCTTGCTAAGACCACATCGAGGTGCCCATCAATCACCCTGTATATGTGTGTGCGTGAATATATTTAATGTTTGAGATAGCGTGTTATGTATGTGGGCGCCCTTAAGTAGGACAGAGGCCTCAAAAATCATCAAAGCGCCACATACAGAGAGAAGCCATTCACTATACTTTATACAATATCTTCGAATTGTAATGAGTGTGGAAAAGACTGTCTGGACGTGAGTATACATGTTATGGTGGTCGAAAAGATTTTAGAGTAAGGTGACGAAAATGACCGAGAGTTCAAAAGCATTTTAGAATATGCACACACATAGATTAAAACCAATTTTATTCATGATGGGTTTTCGCTGTTTAATGTAGAGAGCCTTCAAAATTTTTAATTGCTTATATTGTTGACCATAATCTGATGGTAAATAGAAAGCGGGGTCTTGAATTTGGGTTAATTGTTAATATTTGGTAATTGGATTTGGGTTAATTGTTAATATTTGGTAATTGGATTTGGGTTAATTGTTAATATTTGGTAATTGGATTTGGGTTAATTGTTAATATTTGGTAATTGGATTTGAGTTAATTGTTAATATTTGGTAATTGGATTTGGGTTAATTGTTAATATTTAGTAAATGGATTTGGGTTAATTGTTAATATTTGTTAATTGGATTTGAGTTAATTGTTAATATTTGGAAATTGGATTTGAGTTAACTGTAAATATTTGGTAACTGGATTTGGGTTAATTGTTAATATTTGGTAATTGGATTTGGGTTAATTGTTAATATTTGGTAATTGATTTCGGTTAATTGTTAATATTTGGTAATTGGATTTGGGTTAATTGTTAATATTTGTTAATTGGATTTGATTTAATTGTTAATATTTGGTAATTGGATTTGGATTAATTGTTAATATTTAGTAAATGGATTTGGGTTAATTGTTAATATTTGTTAATTGGATTTGAGTTAATTGTTAATATTTGGTAATTGGATTTGAGTTAATTGTTAATATTTGGTAACTGGATTTGGGTTAATTGTTAATATTTGGTAATTGGATTTGGGTTAATTGTTAATATTTGGTAATTGATTTCGGTTAATTGTTAATATTTGGTAATTGGATTTGGGTTAATTGTTAATATTTGGTAATTGGATTTGAGTTAATTGTTAATATTTGGTAATTGGATTTGAGTTAATTGTTAATA